ATCTATGTGTGTCGTAAATGCTTCAGAAAGAGACATGATTATGTGAACATTTCCGCAAAAGATGGTAAGTGAACATTTTTTTCATGCTAGATTTTCTTTTCCAGAAACAACTTAAAAATGTTCCTACTTGTCTTACTTTCAAGAAACTTCCAACTGAGTGATACTTGCCTTGTCTTAAAATACTTAGAGAAATGAAAATCCAGCTCTGTGTGTAGCCGCCTAACTCAAACATAATTTGAACTGACCCTTAGTATTTTCGGGTTGATGGAAGAATGGGGTGGATTCTTGAACTGGGCGCTGTGAGAAAGAACAGCCACATTCTACTCAGGGCACCTTGGTGATGAGACTGTAAGACACCTCCCTGTTTACCAGCCCTGGAAGGACTCACACAACCAAGACCCAGTGGGGATTTGGGTAGTAGTGGAGAGAGGAAAAGACAGTACCATACCAAGCAAGTGAGTGCCGAAGAATAGCCTGCTTTATGCATTGCTGAACGGTTGAGCATTTCTGTGCCCCAGCCTGTATAGACAAATAAATACTTGACTTGAATTCTGATAAAGGAGTAGAAAAGTGTATGTAGGCCCTCTTTTATTTCTGTAAAACAAAAATCTGCAGTTTACATACAGGTATGAACGTTAAATTCCCTGTAGAGAAAGCTTCAGTGATGGGCGTAGCTACTTTTAACTTGCCGAGAGGAATGAGGTGCAGAAGAACCGTCAGAGTGGGTGGGAAACAACCGCAGTCCTGCGTGCACATGTGTCTGCCTCTCTTACCACGTCAAGTCAGTCTCATCTTCTCCTAGACCTGACTGTGGGCATTAGCGTAAGAAAAGCTCATTCATATTTAATGTCAGGTCTTTGTCAGCAAGACAGTTAAAAACTTAAAAACCACAACAAAGTCAGACTGTAGACGCCTGAAACTAGGGACATTACAGCCATAGAAGGGTACTTACTAGCTGGAGCGCCAAAGGTTGTTCTAAATGGCAAACTATAAAACTTATCTGTCCCACAGCCAGTCAGACAAGTATCTTGTGAAGTCAGTAAAGTCTAGTTTTTTAAAAATCAGCATGAGGTTCCTTCCTCATCTCTCAGTCCTACTACCAGATCCTGAGTGAGTTGCCGTCAGCTGGACTCGGGCATTTACTGTATGAACTGGAGTCATCTCATGTAGATCTGAAAGCCATGTTTTCCCACAGCTTAATGGGATTATCATGTCATCCTCTCCTGGGGCTCTATTTAGAACAGGGTGTGAAATGATCAGGGTGCTTTTTAAAGCTGTCTTGGAAAATCAGACACAGCCTGGCAAAACAACACGGACATTTTGCCAGAGGCTTTGACTATGCCATTGGTATTGATGGAGACATTCAACCTCAGATTAACTGTTCTGTCATAATTGAATGTCCAGTGGCTAACTCAGTGGTTCATTCAGCGGCCCCGTTGGACCATGGCAAGATTATTTTGAAGTGGAAAGGTCAGGGATGATACCCAGCACAGTCAGCAAGTATGTGATGCTGATGGCTAGAGCTGGGATCCAGCCTCACCCGTGGAGGTTCTGTACTGATTAGCCCCGGGACCAAGACAGGTATTTTGACTGACACCCACATTCTTCACATGAATGCACAACACAATGTATCAGAATTATTCTTAGTTGATTTATTATTTCAGAATATATCCATTCATGCCACCAGAAACTTTAAAGTTTTTTTTAATGAGTCTTTTGGTATTTCACTTTAAACGATACTTATAAAATATAACTCTTAACTATGTCTTTCCATATCGCAAAACATTTTAAAATTCCTATTCAAATGCCTCTACTGTTTAAAAAAATACATGTCTATATTTTCATTAATTAAAGTTAACTTTACATTTTCCTTTCTTTAATATTATTATTATTATTATTATTATTTTTTTTTTTTTGATTTTTCGAGACAGGGTTTCTCTGTGTAGCTTTGCGCCTTTCCTGGAACTCACTTGGTAGCCCAGGCTGGCCTCGAACTCACAGAGATCCGCCTGCCTCTGCCTCCCGAGTGCTGGGATTAAAGGCGTGCGCCACCACCGCCCGGCTCTTTAATATTATTTATCTTATCTCTACTGTTTAGAATCTTGTTCTCAATTTTTACCCTCTTAACAAAAAGATGGATATTTCTACTGTGGCCAGCTGGGCTGGGATCCCCAAAATCTAGATGTTACCTAGAGATAGATAAGAAAGCAAGGAAAACAGAGATGTCCCTGGTTAAAGCAGTTGCTGGTCCCAAGTGGCTTCTAGGCATTTTTCATCTTGTTTACCTTTGTAATTCCTAACAATAATGCAACAGAACTTTCTATGTGTTAATTTGTCTTGGGCAATGTGTGATGTACTTCATACAGTGGCCTTTCTGAATCAATGCAATGTGATGAGTTTATCTTGAGATTTTTGGGGGGCGGGCAAGGGATTGGTTATTGTATTGTGTGTTATGATTGTTTGGGGCATTTGGTCAGATCCTCACTGCCAGCTGAGCTAGCACCTCTCAGGCTTTATGACCTATAAAGCCATGTGCTGAGTATACCTTTGTTTTTACTGAGCCCTGAACTGTGCAAGACAATGAGAAAGGTGTTTGTAAGGATTTGTGATGGTTTTGCAAACCCTCCATTCCATGGTCGTTCCAACCATTCTGGAGAATTAATGAGATATACTACCCCACACTTTGGGTGGGGTCCTTCTGGTCTACTGAACTGCACACCTGAGTCACATATGTGTCAGTTGAGCAGAAAGCGGTCACTTTCGATGTAAAATCCATTATAATACATAGAAGTCCCTGATCCTGTCAAGGATTCTGCACCATTGGATGCCAAGCACAAGATAAGAAGCTGTGGAAGACTGATTGGCTCTTGCTCTGGATTCCCATGGAGGAGCTGTGGGAAAGCTTCACCTTCTCAGTGGGAGGAACTAGAAAGCTTGTTTGGAGCTGTATCCCAATGCCTGGCTCTTAGGAAGGTCTTGATAAAGGTTGTTCACTAAACAAATTTATGTGGTGATGGATCAGTTTCTTTTATTAAGGCCTGGACTCTGTTTCCTACTCAACCTACTCTCCTCCCACCATGGGTCCTTCAGGTGCACGTTCCGGTTCCTCTCTCTCTCCCATGTTCCTAGCACAGCTACCCTCCAACCATTGACACCTGCTGTGGGATGTCTTTCTATATGCTGTGAATATGTGTTGCTCTGATTGGTTGATAAATAAAACGCTAATTGGCCAGTAGCCAAGCAGGAAGTATAGGCAGGGTGAGCATACGAGGAGAATTCTGGGAAGAGGAAGGGCTGAGTCAGGAGTCGCCAGCCAGACACAGAGGAGGCAAGATGACCAGGCAGAACTGAGAAAAGGTCCCAAGCTACATGGCTAAACACAGATAAGAATTATGGGTCAATTCAAGTGTAAGAGATAGTCAGTAATAAGCCTGAGCTAATGGCCAAGGAGTTATAATTAATATAAGTTTCTGAGTGATTATTTTATAAGCAAGCCACAGGACTATGGGGGCTTGGCAGAACCAGAGAAACTTTCTAGCTCCAGACACCCTTCTGTCATCTCTTGGAAGTCAGGATAAGGGACTGTAGTTTCCTTTCCCTCTCCCTCATGGGTAAGGGAGAATCTCAGTGAGCATTTCCCTCTTGGACCTTGACCAAATCACCAGTGATTCAAATAACCATAGCCTGGATTTATTTGTATTTTTTATTCTGTTCTTGCTAAACACAGTAGTGTGGTTGCAAAGTGCAAATTCATTCCCTCCTTTTCCTCATTAACTTGATTCTCCTGTCACTGTTTCTCTTTGAAGATGTGTTTGTCAAGGAGCCATGAGCATCTTTACCTCTTCTAGACCATGTGATGTAATAGCCTGGATATCTAAGCTACCTAGCCCAAAGCTCCAGCTTCTAGGAGCCTGCCACCCCAGTCCCGTCATCTCTCAAGTGATGTCCCATCACCCATTGCCACCTTATGGCCCCAGAGCCTTTGCCATTAGGACTTTCCACTGTGCCCCCACCATGCTTCAGATGCCATCTCTTCTCACAATGAGTTTACCTATCATCTCCCAGTTAACCCTTCTCTTCCCCTAACGGTTGAGCTGTCTTCACATCAGCTCAAATAAAGAGGTGATGAGTGAATTGAACCTCCTTACACTTCTCCCAGGGATGCACTTGGAAAAGTCGGAAAGTGCTTATTAGCTATTTACCAGGGCTAACTGCAGGAAAATGTACCCAACACAGGTTTCAGAAAACATCATTTTAGACCCATGTATACATTAGCCTTACATTTATTGAGCGGCTCGATATTTAGACCATGGCACTGTGTCGTTGTCACTGGGTATATTGTCAGTTTTTTTGGGGTTGCTAAAACAAATTACTAGAGACTTGGAGTTGTGGGCTGGTGTGCAGTGGTGAAGTGTTTGCCTAAGCAATGAGGCTATGGATTTGAACTCCAACATTACAAAACAAACAAGCAAAATCCTTTAGGCTTTAAATGCCATGAATTTATTCCTGTGTAGAGGTTGGGTTGGTTCTCTAACGTGAGTTTCATGGGTCATTATCAACCTGTAGGCAGGACCACGCTTTGGTTGGGGTTTTAAGGGAGAATCTATTTCCTTGTCTTGTGCAGTTGCAGTCCCTTGCTCCTGGCTACCCCTTTGCCTCCCAAGTCAGCAGCATAGCACCTTCTAGCCCTTCTGTCCTTGACTGCTTCTACCATTGCAGCACCCCCCTGCCCCGCAACAAGCCTGACTTCCTGGTTTCCCTGTTGTCTACTTTAAAAAACCTTTGTGATTGCAATGAGCCCACCTGGATAATGGCTGTCACCTTAGAGTCCATGACTTGGTTGCCTCTGTAAAGCCCCTTTTGCCAATAAGGGGACAAATGCTCCGGTTCCATTCATTTGGTGTGTGTCTGGTATGAAGAAATTCACCTTGTCACATTGAGAATCCTCCACAAACATGATTTTCTAAGTATATTTTTTTGATTCCTTGCTTTGTTTCCAGATGCAGAGAGAAATTATTTATGCAAGAGGAGATGGCCTTGTAGCCCCCAGACCGGGATCCACGGCTCACCCACCCCATGCAATTCCAAACTCGCCACCATCCACTCCAGTGCCCCATTCCTTGCCTCCCTCCCCATCCAGAATTCCTTACGGGGGCAGCCGACCCATGGCTATTCCTGGCAATGCCACCATCCCCAGGGACAGATTGTCTAGCCTGCCAGTCTCCAGATCCATCTCCCCAAGCCCGAGCGCCATTTTGGAAAGAAGAGATGTCAAGCCTGACGAAGACATGAGCAGCAAAAACCTAGTTATGTTCAGAAATGAGGGTTTCTATGCCGACCCTTACCTCTATCACGAGGGACGCATGAGCATAGCCTCGTCCCATGGTGGCCACCCATTGGATGTCCCAGATCATGTCATCGCGTATCACCGCACTGCGATCCGGTCAGCAAGTGCTTACTGTAACCCTTCCCTGCAAGCAGAAATGCATATGGAGCAATCGTTGTACAGACAGAAGCCAAGGAAATACCCCGACAGCCATTTGCCTACCTTGGGCTCCAAAACGCCCCCAGCCTCTCCGCACCGGGTGGGCGACCTGAGAATGATAGACATGCACCCTCATCTTAACGCACACGGGCCCCCTCACACCCTGCAGCCAGACCGGGCCTCACCCAGTCGCCAGTCCTTCAAAAAGGAGCCCGGCACCCTGGTGTACATCGAAAAGCCACGGAACACTCCAGGATTATCCAGCCTGGTAGACCTGGGGCCTCCTCTAGTTGAGAAACAAGTTTTCGCTTACAGCACTGCTACGATCCCCAAAGACAGAGAAACCAGGTAAGGCATAGGGGTGGCCGAGGGTGGTCTGTGCCTGTGTGTTGCTGGAAACCCCTTAGTAGATCCCAAGTAGGGAACAAAAATCTGAGCCTCATAGAAAGTGGCCCTTTCCTGCAGAGTTCCTGAATGAGCAGGTTGCAGGTCATTGAGGCCCACCAGGGACCATGTGAAAGGAGAAAGAGGCACCACAGAGATTATCAGCCCTTCCTGTCCCTAGACTCTGGTCCTCACAGCATTGTTATTATTGGGAAGAAAATGATGATTAACGGAAACCGTGCAGACAATAGATGGAGGGTCACAATAATTGTCTGTCACAGAAAATGAATAGTGGTTTAACTGTCGGTTACAGCCATTCATGTTCTACCTATAGAATGCAATTTCATTTTCTCATCTAGTTTTGGAAAATGGAAAGAATGAGTTTGCATGAGCATGGACTGTTTGGATTTAATACTCGTTCAGGAGTGGAACTAGAATGAGAAGAGTTTTCTAGTGAATAAAACACTCTGGGTATTCAGTGTGTGTGTGTGTGTGTGTGTGTGTGTGTGTGTGTGTGTGTGTGTGTGTGTGTATGCCAGTATTCAATTTTATACCCTGAATGTATCTTAAAAATCCTCCAAAATCTGCAAAGTAATTATTAAAAAACAAATTTTCATAGGAGAAAGTTCCCTAGCCTGAATTGATGGAACTGAATAAAAATAATTATAGTCATAAAATTTAACAGAGAAATTGAAGTAAAAAGGGCAACTTATCTCTTTCATGTAGGTTCCAAAAGAATAAATACAAGAATCAGATACTAAGTTGCTCGGAACCTGCTTAGAACTTCCCTTCCTCACTGAAAAATGGTTCCATTGCACATGATTACATAACGTTATAAGAAGTCCAAACTTGTCTTCTTCACTTACTGTTTTCACACTCAAATCAGTCCAAAGCCCTGTCGCCTCTAGCAGAATTTGATCAAGTGAGGCCGTCCCTATTTGTTCAGTCATAAGAAATCTCAGGGCACAAAGATTTCAGGAGAATGGAACAGGAATGAGCCTGACCGTTTTGGAGTCATTAATGCAAGAACAAAATCCAACTCTCACCGCTGGTAAAACAGAGACTGGCTGATTGGCTTGAGAACGCAGAACTAAAAAAAGGCGGTGCTTGGAGCTAATGCTGAGCACTCAGCAGATATGGTGACAGGTGCGTCCTCTGAAATGGTCTTTGAGGTGCAGGATGGGAAATGGTGTGTCATGGGGAGGATGAGAATTAGAAGCACAAAGATTTAGTGAAGGAAATGATTAAAAAAAGAATCCACTTCCAGGATAGAAGGCTGAGAACCAGAATCCGCTCTCTCTACCTTTCCACCATGCTACCACTACTCCCATGGGTGCCTTGAGGGGAGCAGAGAACCAAAAGCCTGATTTACCGCCATCACGTGACACTGTTCCCATGCTAGGTTCTGGGTGCATTTTGTCAACAGAGGTGTTATCCTCTGTATTAGTTACTTTTCTGTTGCTGTGATAAAATGCAATGGCTGAAAGCACCTTATAAAAGAAAGAGCTTATTTTAGCTTATGCCTATAGAGGGTTGGATGTCCCTAATGGTGGGGGAAATGTGGTAGCAGGAGGCTGGAGCAGGCAGCCAGAGCACGAGGTTGAGAGATCACGTCTTAACTGCACACAGGAAGCAGTGTGAGAGCTGGAAGTGGGGCGAGTCTATAAACTCTCAAATCCCATCCCCCAGCACCCCTGTTCTACCTCCTACAGGATCCCTAAAATCCCCAAGCGGTGCTGCCCACTAAGGACCCAGTGTTCTGGGGCTCTTCTCATTCAAACCACCACATCGTCCTTCCCACGGTGTGGTGTCATTGATGCAGATGCCGCAGGTACCCAGCCCACGGAGTCCCATTCGTCAAGAGAGTTGGTAATGGGTGTGGTGGGGTGCTCTGTAGTCCCAGTTCTCAAGACACTGAGGTATGGGGGACTGCTGCAAGGTCCAAGTCAGCCTGAGAAACCCTGGATTAAAAATCCATTCAAGCAGACAAGCAACAACAAAAGCCACAGCCTCTGAGGATGTGTGGAGGTGCCATGTGCGGCTTCCTGACCAATGCCTTAAAGGATACTCCCTCTCCATTGGCCAGTGTCCCTGTTGGATTTTTCACTCTCTTGTGTAAAAGGATAAATCAACCTCAATGACTTCATTTTTTTTTTCAAATCTCAAAAACAAGCCCATAGATTTCTTCTTTACATGTTACAAAACATTTTTATACAATTCAAGTTATGTGATATCTAGAATAGAAAATATTAGAAAAAATTAACTGGGAAAGATAAGTGCTCACCTAAGACACAATGCCATTGTCACCACTGTTATGACAGATGACAGTGATGCTGTAATTTCACATTTTCATGTTCCCGCCTTCGCCAAATGTGAAATAACAAAAGAATTTTATTTCATACATCCTGCCTAGGTGACTCTTGATTTGGTAATTAACTTATCTCCAGAGGTTACAGCTGGAGTGCTTGCGTGTTTGTGGGCGAGTTAGTACTGTATACACACATTCTTCCACAGATCTTATACTATGCACATACATATATAACACACATCAGACCTGTAAATACATATATGCACATGCACGCACTCTTATGCACACTACAGACATATATACCTATGCAACAGAGATAGATATAAACCCGGGCACCCCACGGGGCACCTGTTCACATATACCACATAGATATATACAGACACAGACATATATGCTCTAAACACACACATTCATGTATACACACTGTCCTAGTTAGATTCTATGATTAAACACCATGACCAAAAGCCGCGTGGGGAGGAAAGGGTTTATTTCCTCTTACACTCCCAGGTCATAGTCCACCACTGAGGGAGTCTGAGCAGTCACTGAAGGCAGGAACCTGAACATAAAAGTAAAGCAGAGGCCACGGAGGAGCGCTGCCCACAGAACAATTGTCCAGGGGCTGGGCCATCCCACATCAGTCACTAATCCAGAACATGTCCCACAGGCTTGCACACAGGCCACTAGAATGGAGACATTGTCTCTTATATTTTTGGTTGTGAGCCTCGCCTTTAATGGCTCTCTCCAGCCCTCTCTACCCAGATGACCCTGGCTTACGTCAAGTTGAAAAGCAACAACAACAACAACGACAAAAACCCCAAACTAACCGGCACACACAGAATACCACACGGGCACGCACATTCACATCCACATTCATACAAACATGCACACCATACAGGTGCGCATGTATTGATACACGCACCACAGACCTTCACAGGCACATACAACACCTGCATTTTGAGCCTCTGCTAACGAAAGGTATCTTTCCTGTCCTCACTGAACACAACACGTTCGTAAAAAGTGATGACTCAGCTGAAACGTAACACGGACACATCTGTCAGGTACAGGGGCCTCTTTGAAACAAGCACTGCAATTAGTATCCTCCATGTATCATGGGATACAACTGTCAGAACAGCTGCTAACATACATGCTTGCTTTACCCCATACTGCAGAGACAGAAACTGAGGGACAGGGATGTGAAGTTGATCTTGTAAAATCAACAGTGCTATACAATGACTCAGTTTAGTAAGGGGCCTGTGCCTTTTGCCAGGCATGTTGGCAAACCTGTAATCTCAATACCAGAGAGTCTGAGGCAGGAGGATTCAAGGTCGAGACCAGCCCCGCTACACAGTGAGACCCTATCTTAAATAATAAGCTGGATAAGTGGATACAGCTCAGTAGTAGAGTCTTTGCTTAGCATGTGAAAGGCTCTGGGCTCCATCCCCATCTCAAGGAAGAAAGAGGAAGGAGGAAATACAGTATTCACGGGGTGTGTAATCTGCTATAGTAGCCATGGGTAATAGACAGCAGTACGTCCACCTTCCCACAGCAGAGGAGCAGAAAGAAGCGAATTCTGAACCAGAATCCTTCAAAGATCGATTTAGGACTGGATGCTAAGTAACTGTTCCCAAAGGACATTCACAATCATAAACATGGCAGAATTTGCATAATTATACTGCTAAATATATGCATGCCATTTAAAGTATAACTGCCCTAGCTGGTATATTAGCACAATTACATAGAAATGGGAAAAGGAGAGAACATTCTTGGTAGAATTTATTTTTTTTAAAAAAGTGCATCTGAATACTATGTCAAAGGGGAAAAAATGTAAAAAACAAACACCAGGAACAATTACCAAAGTGCAAAATTATATGCTTTAGTCTCGCTTAGCTCATGACGTTATTTTAGAAATATTTAATCTGGATAGTCTTTTAAAGCATGTTCGGCCCCCTGAAAGTCTAACTTCATGAGTATGGGGTATAAAATGCCAAGCCGATTTCTGTTGCCGTTTCATAATATTAAGAGCAAATAAATGAGAGTGCTTTTTCTTTGTGAGTCTCAAAGTGAGATTTTACATCTAAAATGTGAGCTGACAAAACCCAGGGACCAGAGCTGCGGGGAGCTGTGCTTTCTCCTGAGCCCTGCAGGGCTCCCTAAGATTCCTAAGAGCACTTCAGTGTAATAGCTAAAATAGCTGCAGGACATTAGAAATCAGAGAGAAGAATCTTTTCTTCCACATGTGTGCTAGGAGAGGTCCATCGGCAGCTCGTCTGAAGGAACATGATTCTGTAACAGCTCTGTTGACAGAGAAATGAAGCGCTAAACACTGAGTCGTTTAATCTCGATTCTTATACTCAGTCATGTGCCTCATTCTCCTGGAGTCAGCATCTCTCTCTCTCTCTCTCTCTCTCTCTCTCTCTCTCTCTCTCTCTCTCTCTCTCTCAGACCCTTCAGTAAATATCTGATCAAGGTCAGCATAAATGGTATAATCTACCTGATGGTGGTATTCTCCTTCCATGGACTCCATGGGTGTTGACTTTTCTCATAACAGCCTTCTTGTATCTGAGCTTCTAGAAGGAAGATCACCTTGCATATTTTTATGGATTTGCCTAGACAGTCCCAGTCTGCTGGGACTCCAAAAAGGAAAAATGGGTTCCAG